GCATCAACTCAAACAACAATTTATATAACTTCACATTTTGCTCTTTCATTTACCTTCAGAAAACTAGCTTTTATGTCTCTTAAATATATAAATAGATCTAGCATTTTTAAGATCATCCTCCAGCTCATTCCATAATCCTATCCTGGATTTCAGTTCAATAATGAATCAAAGGTAGTGATGCAATTATGAAAGAAAACAAGTCTACATTATAAAAGTTTAAAATCTTACAGAATAGTCCTGTCTAGGGTTTTAACAAATAAACCTATTTATAAGGGTTTTTGAACCGAACACAGGATCCCATTCCAGAAAGCAGCCCTGGGTAGAAGGCAGACCCTCTGAATCGTCCTTCCCCGCTCAACTTTACTCTGAGTTAAGTTGGAGCCCGAGTATAAAAGAAGCCCTCATCAGTGTAAGTCAGATAACAGGATTCACCGTGGAGAAGAGAGAGAAAAAGAAGACTCAAAGTCCATATTTTTCTCCGATGGAACTAGAAATATTAATGACCGGGAAAAAAAAGCAATTGACCTACTGTTGCTGCTGCAAGAGAATTATGATTTTACAGAAGTCTATACTTTTATTGTTTACAATTATTCAAGTGGATAAAAGTGAGCATATGTATCCATTGAATGTGTGTGTAGGTATGGACATGGCAGCAAATAAAGATTAAATATAAAAACATAATAAAGTCATATTTGATTTCATCTACAGGGGTTGAACAATGAAACTGAAACACCTGTCATGTTAGTGTGGGAGGTTTCTTGGCTAAATTGGACCAGCCTGGTGACCAATCTTCATTGAGTGCACATTGCACCAGTAAGAGCAGAGTGTGAAGGTTCAATTAGCAGGATAAGAGCATAGTTTTGCTCAAAGTATTGCAATTCACACAACATTATGAGCGACATACCAGAGTTCAAAAGAGGACAAATTGTTGGTGCACGTCTTGCTGGTGCATCTGTGACCAAGACAGCAAGTCTTTGTGATGTATCAAGAGCCACAGTGTCCAGGGTAATGTCAGCATACCACCAAGAAGGACCAACCACATCTAACAGGATTAACTGTGGACGCAAGAGGAAGCTGTCTGAAAGAGATGTTATGGTCTAAAACCAGAAGTTTCAGTTTCATTGTCTAACCCCTGTACATCAAAGCATGAACATTGTCAAACAAGAAATACAGTACCAACATGATCATCATTCTCACTGGTGATTGGATGTAGACCCAAAMWTAGTCATTTTCCACATAATAATCATGAAAAGGTGTGAATTTAAAAGTTTCATCAATCTATCATTACTGATACCTGTTTCTTCCATTTAGGATCACTGGTGCCCATATCCAGCAGTCACAGTGCGAGGGGCGGGGTACACCCTGGACAGGTCGCAAGTTCATCACAGGACCACACACACAAATGGGACAAACAACCATTCACTCTCTCACTCACACCTAGGGTCAATTAGAGTTATTAATTAACTTAACAGTCATGTTTTTGTTCTGYGGGAGGAAGCCGGAGTGCCCGGAGAGAACCCACGCATGCACRGAGAGAACACGCAAACTTAGGATTTGCACTTCCCCTGCTTTCTGAAACAGGGCCCCAGTGTTCATGTGTGGCTTTGAGATGGAAACAGTTTGGTGACACGTAGCACCTAGCAAGATGGCCGCCACAAATCACACCAAGCACTGTCAATGGTCATTACATCATGTTTCTGATGTCAGCACAAAGATAACCAGTTTCTTCTTGTGTAGTGTTTTAACACAGAATGTTTTTATTCACTTCTTCTTTAGTTTTAATGGATGTTGGTAAAGTTTTACTGTTTTAACTCTAACTTTACTGTTTTTTGATTACAGTTTCTGCATCAAAGCATGAACATTATCAACAAAACAACAAATTCAAAACTAACATGATCATCATTCTCATTGTTGATTAGAAGTGGACACATATATAAAAATTTTACAGAATAACTATGAAACAGTGTGATTTAAAAAATTTCAATATAGATTTTGCAACAAAAAAGTGCTGTACTTTTATCATGAAAACATAAAATGTTCTTTATTTGATTCAGACTGGAATGATTTTTATTTTAGAAACATTTTTAACAATTTTTACGGATTTCATCTGATGAAAATTGTTAAGGAGAGAAAAAAATTAAACAAAGCTTTTGTAATTAAAGAAGAGGCTGTAAATGAACATTTCATCCAAAAACAAAACATGAAGATCAGTATTTATTAATATTCATGTTGAATTAAATCTGTGGTTCCAGACCGAGACACTTAAAATACATTCATACAAGAACAAAACATTTCTTCTTTACTTCATCACTTCAGTGCTGTTTAAACATTGTCTCTATTATTGTGACCTCCATCTGTCTTGGTGTAGACCATCTGTAGTGGTTTGTACTTCTCTTTTGGTGGGCAGCGGCTGCACAGCAAGACCCCYCCAATCAGGAACAGAGCAGCTGATGCCCAGCCGATGTAGAGGGATACTCCTATCTCCCTTCTCTGAGCGTAGATCAGGAGTGGATTGTAAAAATCCCGAATGATGGTGTGAGCGACCCAGCAGACAGGGATGAGAACCAAAATACCAGCAAGGATGAAGAAGATCCCAGAGATGATCATCACTTTAGCTCTGGCTGCTCCCCACTTCATGCACTTTGCTCCGACRATGGAGATCAGGACTCCCAGAATGCCCAGGACRATTGAAATGACTGTCATGGCTCTGGCAGCCTGCAGGTCCTGAGGTAGAGCCAGCATGGAGTCATAAATCTTGCACTGCATCTGCCCTGTGCTCTGGGTGATACAGTTCATCCACAGACCCTCCCAGATGATCTGAGCAGTGATGATGTTGGCCCCGATGAAGGCCGTCACCTTCCAAATCGGTAGAACACATGTCACTATTGCAGCAATTAATCCAATGACTCCAAAGACGATGCCCAGGATCTCCAAACACTTCGCCATGTTGACTYTTTGTTTGGTGAGAAAATTCAAATCATGAGATAAAAGAAAATAGAAATAGTCTTTCAGATCACAACAAAATCTCCTGCTTTGTTCGGTCGATTGTTGGAGTGAAGCTGCAGAATGTGATGCAGTTTTAGGAGGCTGGTGATRCAGAGGATGGTTTCTACCCCAGGAAGATACAAAGGAGAAGTGTCCTGGTGGGGGTGTCATAAGTATGTGGTGGAGAGTGGGCTGCATCTGTGTGCAGAGAGGAGGAGCTTTGGTAAAATGTTTGTTCCTACATGCTGAAAATGGATGGATAGCATAAAAAGATGACTATTTGCAGTTTATTGTGTTTGATAATGTAGAAACCTGTCCCCTGTGATCACARAGTATTTCACACCACTGCAGGAGGTGTTCCTGAGAAGTTCCTCTGAGACCAGGACTCAAAATGTTTCAGTGTCAGAGACTCTGATCACTGGTGACATGTAAACAAACAGCTGAACCACAACAACAATGATACAGTTTCACTGAAAGCCAGCTCTGTGTAAACGTCCAAAAGTCAAAGCAACACTGAACTGAAGCAGCAGCCTGACTTTTCTTCAAACAGTAGTTTCTCGTTAAATAATATATAAGAATTGATTCTGATCTTTTCAAAGAAAAACATTAATTGTGATCTAAGCAAAAAAGCTTTGGTCATTCCAGTTTAGAAGGAAGTGAAAGTTCTGCGTAAACAAACAAAAAAAAATTACAGACATTTTTTTACTCAAACATGCTGACACAAGTTCGGAAAATAAAYGATGGGGTAACAGTGCTGCTTCTGTTTCACACACAGAAACCACTGTCATGTGTAGCATAAATACTTTCTRTTTTCAGTCTTGTGGACTTTTAAACTGTCTGTGTTCATCGTTACAGAATGAGCTCCAAAGCTTTGCTGGAAACAGCAATAACTGCACCAAGAATAAATACGAGCAAAGAGAAACCAGACAAGTCTTAAAACACTAAAAATATTTATATTTTATTAGTTATTATTAGATATTAGATAGATGTTTCATTGTCAATAAAATGTGGAGTTAAAGATGTTTTGTGAATTCATCTCCTTGTTGTCTGGTTGTTGATGTGAAACACCTGTCAGGCTGTGCTGCAGGTGTAGCATGCTGCCTAAAGAGCAGGAGCTTTATACCACAGGGAGATAGAAAGGAGGAGTTTGTTGGTGATGATGTCAGCAGGAGGATGGTTTCACACACGACACAACACCTGTACAGTTACAGTGGAGAAAATGAGCTGGTGCACTGTGATCTGAGTCTCTTTGCTACTCTACCATTTTCAGCATGTAGGAACATCAGGCTGTTCACGAGTTTGGATGCAAATGTCCTCATACAGATACTGAGTATGGCATCAGGGTTGCCAAATAAATATAAAAATATGAATTTTGTTCAAATTGGGTCAAAATACAATAATATTAAAGCAACAGCACAACAGTTCACCATATCTAATCTGGCAACCCAGCCAGGCATGGAAGCTTCATCTGATCCACGTAAACGTGTGATTTTTTTTTCATTATTTGCCACAATAAATA